CTGAGTGTGAGATTCACACTATTATGAAATGAGTTAAAGCTGCTTTTATAAAAGTTAATCTCTCTAAGAAGTTCTGAACAGATGTTCTAGAGACAGTTATTACAATAATTAATAATACTCTTATATTTACAGTTCTTTACAACTCAAAATTTTGACTCTCTACTACAGAGACTTCTGTGATTTCAAGCTTATATAAGATCTCTTAATATGCACTTACAAATACCTCACTGAATGTGAGGCATTTTCACTAATTAAGTGCAGAGATCTTTATTTACTTGTATAAATCTCAGAAGCCTGTGAATAAGCTTTCTTTATATACTGATTTCTATTATATTATTGAATTCAGTGATATATCAATTTATTATCTATGAAATTCTGAATCTGACAAGGTTATTATTAGTAGTGATATGAGATTCTTAATCACTGAAAAATCAGAATCAGCTGTTACATCTATAGTACTTATTAGTTATATTATTAAACTGAGACCTGATATTTATCTGATTGATGATAAAGATGCTTCTAACATTAATAATCTGAATTCTACATAGTTACAGCTTGTGAAATTACTGACTACTTATACTCTGAGCTCTGTTACAAGTAATCTTCTGAAATTCTATAAGAATGCTATATATTAATCAGAGAGAATAGAAGATTATTAAAAGAAGTTTATATAATACAAGATTACTAATCTGAAGAGATGTAAGATATAAAGTTTAATTCTAAGATTCAATGTTCTGAAGAATAAATTAATTACTTCAGACTATTAAGTATTTCTTAAGAAAGATAGATTTATAAATCTGAATACTGATTCTATTAATATTCTTAGAAAATTATATTAAGTGATTTATAATAACTAACTTAGAAAGAGTTTTAGAGAAGAGATTTATACTTCTATTATCACTGATACTGCTAATCATATTCTTTCTATCATAGTAGTATAACACAGTTAAACACTCTGTTAAGTAAATATAGTAATGATATATCTATATAAGTACCTCACTAAGAAGATCTACATGAGATAACTCACTGAATTTAAGACAGATTTACTGAAAACACTTGTCTGTGTGATTGAGAGTAGTTTATACAGTCTGAATTCTGCAGTGAAGATCTAATATAATTACTTAACTACTCTATTTTTTGCCCCGGTGACTGAATGATTAATGCAGCCACCTGATAGCGCCTTGATGTGAGAAATCAAGACATGTGAGTTCAAAACCCGCAGGGAATACATTAAATCCAGAACTCAAGCACCTCAGGTTTCTAATAAATACAGAGGTGTACAAATCACTTCAACAAATCGCTCTATGTTTCTGAGAGGAAAAGTTATTATTGCATGTATTTAATTATCACTTCTTTGTATTTCCTATGTTCTTGTTATCTTAGTGTGATCTTAACACCTGTATTTCCTCCTGTATAATCAATACTTGGCCTGTATTTAACATCACGTAAGGACTCATATTAGCTCCGCTTGCATATAAGTATAATGAAAGAATAATAATAATAATAATAATAATAACTGCTCTATTAAGTGATCTTGAATTTGCAGTCCGTGTCTATAACTCAGTACTCTGATATTATATATTCAGATATCATCTATATATAATAATCTATGTTAATAATCTTAACATTATATCGGAAGTTTCTGAGAATGTTAATTAACTAGTGAGTAGACTGGCCGCTGAGACCATGAATTTCATGTTTGATCTTATTTGATCTAGTCTCATACATTTCTTAATGTGAATCTCACTGAGACTAGTCATTAAAAAAACATGCAAAGTGACTATATATGAGATCTTAAAATGAAACCATGACTTGAAAAAAATGAGAAAGTGATTTCATTTGATTTCATTTAGTTTCATTCTTGACATAAAGTTACTATTTTTAGACATTTTAAGGTTTTTTTTAGACTATTTTTAATTTTTTAAAAAGTAACACTTTTTGATAACACTTAAATGAGATTTAAAGTCATTTAAAGCAATAAAAATGATTTAAATTGAGAAGTGAAAATCATGATCTCATTTGAAAAATGTGATAAGAGTAGATAGTAAGTCTCACTGAGACAGTATGAAACTACTATCTAATGTTAAAACTGTGTAATGAAATTAGTCGAATTGATAATGAGACTATTAAAAAATCTGATTCTGGTCTCAGACACAGTCACACGGTCAGTCTACTAGTAAGTATACTCAGTGAGAAATTGAAAGTCAAGAATCTATATCAATTAACTAAGTATTTAAGTATGAACGTTAATTATTTCAATAAAGAGATTGAGTTAATATATTATTTATATATTAAATATTATATTGAAGATTTCTATCTTAATAATATAGTTATTATTAAGACTCTGATAAAGAATGAATTTTATATTAATAATTTCTCAATATCTGAGAAAGAAGCTGATTTTATAATTCAGTGATATTAATATAATACGAACTACTTATAATATCTTGCAGTGAAAACACATTCTGATATTACTTATACAGATACTCTGATTTCATAGTATTCAGTGAAGTAATCTTGTATATCTCTAAGTTTTAATGAGACTGAATATATAACTCTTAGTAAAACAGTCTGCAAAGTAATATAAATCTGAAATCTTATGATTAAGCTTGACTTTATTATCACATCTCTGATATGAATTCTCAGTGATAATAAGAGTGTTATAGATCTTACAAAGATGACAGTTATTATAATTAGAAGAAAGTACATTAACACATATTTTCATTTTTTATATTGACAGTTGAATTAGAGAGTTATCAACTTGAAATATATTTCTATTACTCAGATAACAGTGAATAAACTTACTAAATTCTTAAACACTGTGATATTGTGCAATTCATGATTTTGCTAGGTCTTACAGGTGAAAAAGTCAGAAATGCTTAATTTTACAGGTTTATTTATATTTGATTTTAACAGACTATCTTGATGAATTGAGTGTTTTTATATGTGATTTCTGTTATCTTGAGAGAAAGTGTTAACTATTACAGTTATTACGGTTAGCAATCTTACTAGATTATATGACTTATCACTATATTAAGCTCTTTATAGATAGATCTATTAATATAATCTTTAACTATTCTACAGATTATATATTCTGACTTATTAATTCTTTTATTATATAACTTCTTACAAGCTAGTAACTTTTTTAATTAAGTAAGCTTTACACCTTTCATATATTACATTAATATTAACTTTTTACATGTAAGTTATAAGAGTTTATAAAGGCAATTGAACATGCTCTGAAACAGTAAATACTTTTTCAATATTTTATTATGAAAATTCAAATTTTGTATTAAAATTTTGATCTGTTTTTCAGATTTGAGAAAATTAGCTGTTTTTATGAAAAAACATTATATTTATTATATTATTTAAGTATTTTTAATCTTTCTATTTCATACTCATATCTAAGCTACTGATGAAGATATTAAAGAAAGCAATGTTTATATCTATTATATATAATTCTCACATAAAAATACATTCTTTTATTATTATACTGCTTTAATTGTTATGATGTGATGCACTCACATCAGAATTAAGTGTGTAAAAGCATGATTAGACTATAATAAGAGAGTCAAAGAAGAGAAAAGAGAAAAAGCTTATGACAATCACACACACTGATCTTATTCCATGTGACATTATTAATTCCTTCTCATTTTCAGTTCCATTTTCATTTCCTTTCATTCTTCATATATTCAAGGAAAGTTTTTTTCCCCTTCATTCCTGTCTTTCCCGCTGCTTGTTAAAATAGGTCTGGTATTTCGCCGAAAAGAAAGTATGGAAAATATGAAACTAAAGAAGAGGGAAAGAACAGAAAAAAATACATTCAAAAAGAAAATAAGGAAAAAAAGATGCAAAATCATATATGCAGTCAAATGCCTAGATGAAAACAATAGATCATACAGATAGTGTATGTATGTAAGAGTAGTAATATAATTAAACAGTATATAGATAAAGCAAGAAGAAGTTATCAAAGAACTCACTCTTAAGGAAAGAAGAGTTGGAAAAAAAAGAGAGAGAAAAGGAAAAACTGAAACTGCCTCTCAGAGACTGGGAGAATAGGATATATAGAAGAAAAAATGAGGTAAAA